TCTCCCGAGTCTTCTAACCTGCAAACCAACGACGACAAACAAACAGAAAACGACCAAAAAATACGAGAAAAACCAAAATAGAGAGAAAAATGCAATAAATGACAAAACTAACTAAAAACAAAGTAAAAGACCTAATATGGGGTTAAAAACGGAAAATAACAAGGAAAAACGCAACATAAATGGGACAAACATAGAGTGATTTGATAAGTGTTGTTCAAAGAACAAAAAAAAAATGTGTTTCGAAAGTTGAAGATTATGATGAGTATGCTTCTGTCTTACTAGAAGTACTATTGTCGTGCTTGATGATGGACGAGGTCCTTGATTGAGGTGAAGTATGTTTTCTTTCGGTGCTGTTGAAATTCCACTTCTTCTTACTTGTCTTAGACGTTCAAGACAAAAAGTTTGTGTACCATAACTCTTTGGATGGTCCAATTTACCGAAGAGTTGACTAGAGTTTGGTAAGTGTTATTATTGACATATTAAACTTTGTTTTATAGTTATTATTTATTTTATTTTGAATAAACTAGTCACGTGTTTTGTTGCTTTTTTCTTTTTTTTTTAGGCCAAGTTCCTGGGAGGATATTTGAATTTGAAAATTTGATTGGACGTTAACCTAAAAAATTTTGGGTTTTGGTACCTCAGAGAGCTGACTGGTGTCAAGGATGTGGAATGCACGTATGCATGCAGATGGACTATTATGTCATCGATTCTCATGAATATTTGAGGGCGCAAAGTACTTGTTTAATTGATGGCTATCGAGCATACATAGCAGCACACATCTTGAGAGATCCTTTATGTTGACAGTGTTTGACTTGTGTTTTGAACAATGTATTTAAATGTGGATGTTTGGTGTGTGTTGTGGATGATGGTTTATGTTAACAGATTTTGCTTGTCTTTAAACAATATGTATTGAATGTTTGGATGATGGTTTATGGATGATGGGATTGTTGATTTTGTAGACAATGTGGATGTTTTATTTCATGGATGATGGGTTTTTTCATTTTGTTAACAATCGGGATGTTTTGTTTTAGAGATGATGATGTTTTTAATTTTGTGGGCAATGTGGATGTTTGATCTGTTGTGTATGGTTGGTGATTTTAATAGTACTCGTTTTCTCTTATTTAGTACCTACTCTGTAGAACGAAAATATTATGTGAAGGATTCCAGGTTAAGATATGTTGTGTAAACTGATACCATTTTTCTTATAAATTCTTTACCAACTTTATGCACTAGTAATACTCATTTTCTAGTATTTAGTATCTACTTCGTAGAAAGAAAGAAAATTGATATGCAGATACCAATTTTTCTGTCATGATGCGGACCAAAAGAGTAATGCAGTGTCTAAATCACTGTCGAATATGCATTTTCTGTTAGTTGAGGAGAAGATGGTTATCACCATGCGTTTATGTAAGAATCCACAAGAGCTCTCCATGCTTTTCAGCCTGACCTCGGACATGAAGGCTGTAATATCCCGTCAGTTTATTAATATAAATCATGTTTTAATTCCGATATAATAACGTTGTCGATTACTATTTTCAGAATTAATTATTTTCAGTCGAGATTACCAGAAATTATTTTCGACGTCCCGTTTACGTTCGGAATAATTTTGGTAATTAAGTATCATGACTAATTAAATAGTTAAGCATTAATTGTGATTAATTAGAAAATTGATCATGATTAGTGTACAAATGTCGTAGGCATTAAATAGGGTTTTCCTCCACTAATTTTGTAAAGCCGAAGCTTTCTTCAAACATGGGATATAATTTTCCTCCTCATTAAGTATCTATACGTGGCATTATGTGAGTTTATGAGGTGATTAGTCGACTTAAGATTATTTAATTTTATTACAAGTGTCTTAACCTCCTTAAACCATTAACACCTCACCATCTCAACTCTCGGCCCTATATATATGTAAGAGTTTGGGAAATTTTTCCATATTTCTTCCGCCTATACTAAGTTATATATATATGCTAGTGAGGGAAGTTGAGAATTGTGAGTATTTTAAGGAGGACACACGCACGCCAAGCTTAGCCGAGTACCGCACCGCAAGCACCATACGCACGGAGGCTCCGAGTGTTACGAGAAGTTGAGCAATCAGCAGAGGGTTAAGAAGGTAACATTAGTCTACCTGGTTATATTAGGATCCAAGTCATGTTAAGATTAAGTTGAGTAAGACATGTTGACATAGCTTACCTTGTTCTTGGTCGTGCGTGTGGTGTGTCAAGCCCGTTCATGTTATGATATGGAATCCCTCGAGCAAGTCTCGCATGTTTAGTTAATTTATGTGTAATCATGATCAGTCAGTTTA